AGATTGAATAATAATAAACATGTCCAACTCGTCGGCTTAAGCCAATAAATGATTTCATTTTCAGTTTCCCCAATTGACTGGTCCTTGATTTGACTCTCTTTTATTAATGGGAGATTGGGAGTGTGACTGTATTTGCTATATTATCATTGCGAAAAAATCGAGGAGTCGAGATATTTATGGCCAAATTAATATACTTTGGTCATAATTAGAGCTTATAATAGTTTAAGGATGATAATACTCACCTAATTATTTCCTTTTGTGTGATTATTGATTGTGTAGGAATTTATGATTAAAATGCATGCTTATATTTTTGCAAGTATTGGTGATGTTTTGCAGCGTAAGAAAATTTGGTTTTGCACCGATTGTACGGTTCTATCTTTCGTAAGTGGACGACTTAATATAAAATTTCAAAAATATTTTAGGTTAAATGAGAAATTAATTCAATAGCTGAAATGTGGGACAATTTGAGGTTATATAATTCAAAACTGAGCTTAAGTAAAACAAAGATTGTTAGATTTGCAAATGTTATGTCATTGATGAATATTTGGACAAGGCTAACAAGCCATAATCATGTAATATGCATAGTATAACCGTAGAAGGGTTTGTTGGCGATGAGTAGAAAAAACGGAGCACGACTCTAAGTCCCAACGAGCCTTGGCTTTGGCTTACGAAGAGCACGTTTCACGAAGAGCACGACTCTAAAAACGGTGGAATTTTTGTTTTACGAAGAGCACGTTTCACGTGCCTTGACTTTGATTATTTATTTGAATTCTTTGATCGAGTTTGTTTGAGGATCGTGTTCATGGTTGTTAGAAAATTAGTTATTTAAAATTGAATTTAACCCGGTTCTAATTGACTTTTTGTAGCTACATATTTAATTCAAGTTGAATTTACTTGTGTAAAATTTTATATTACGAGTTGATACTCGTGGTATATTTATTTTAGGACTTAATTTGATAGTTTTATAACATTTAATTTGATAGTTTTATAACATTTAAGTCGCGAATTGAGAAAAAAAAAATCTTTCAGGCATCGATTTGATAGTTTACCCATCTTTCGAGTCTTGTATTGAAAAAATTCCTATTAAAAATTAGGTATTTTGTTAGGGAATGTTTGTTTTCTCACCGTGACCGTTTTTTATGTGAATGTGCCTATTAAAACCACCACAAATTGATGATGATGATGATTTTAGGGAAAGAAGAAAAAAAAGTAGGGGAAACTAAAAAATAGAGAAAAAAAAGGAGAAGGAAGGTAGTATATTATCTCTATGTTGCCTATGTCATACATAAAATCTCTGTTGCTTTCACTACAAAAAAAGTTGCTTTCACTACAAAAAAAATGTTATATTCCAATGGAAAATCTTATGGTAATATATTCCAACGGAAATTCCAACGGAAATTCCAACGAATATTCCAATAGTATAGCTTCCGTTGGAATGCTTTCACTACAAAAAAAGTTGCTTTCACTACAAAAAAAATGTTATATTCCAATGGAAAATCTTATGGTAATATATTCCAACGGAAATTCCAACGGAAATTCCAACGAATATTCCAATAGTATAGCTTCCGTTGGAATAATTCCAACGGAAATAATAACATTGAAATATACATTGGAATTGTCGTTGGAATTCTATTGGAATATAATTCCGTTGGAATTTCATCATTTTCTTGTAGTGTTTTGTGAAATGGATGGCATGATTGGGTGCTCTTGCGAAGTCCTTACATTTACACAGATTTTTTGGAATTGTCGTTGGAATTCTATTGGAATATAATTCCGTTGGAATTTCATCATTTTCTTGTAGTGTTTTGTGAAATGGATGGCATGATTGGGTGCTCTTGCGAAGTCCTTACATTTACACAGATTTTTTGTATTTCACTTTTTCTTTTACCTCTTATTATTATTTTTATTGTTTTTTAAACAATAACATATTACAATATGAAAATATTTCAGTCAGTATAAAAGGTGAGTGTATATAAAAATTTGAAATAGATCCGCCCCTGCATTTATCTAAGGAGCCGAGTGGCAGGCGCGTTTAGTTAGCAATTCATGCTCGATTCAACTTATTATGGCTTGAAAATAAGAATTCTTTTGTAATTTTTTACAGTTCGACTCATGAAGATCTCGAGTTTGATTATTTGCTCGTTTAGTTAATGAGTTCGGCTCGTCAAACTCTCGAACTCGACTTGGTTCATTTACACAGTTACACCTCTATTGATGAAATTAAATTATTGACAATGTAAAATAAACAAGTATATATATATTTTATTTATATGGTAACATGACCTAGTGGTATATAGTATCCACTAGACCTAGCTAGTGGCCATATCACATATGGTAACATAATACTCAAATCTTTGATGAGTACTCAGCAAATGGCGGTGGTGTTGACTTCTTTATCACGCCATTTTGGTGCTCCTCACGATGGAGCAAAATTTTTTCTTTAGAAGGAAATAAAAAAATTAATAAACGAAAGGATGAAAAAAAAAAAAAGAAAAAGAATCAACTGCCCTTGTTGACTTTTCTTAACCATATTTTGCATATTTAAAACGGCGAATTGTACCCATCAATGGTTCAATGCCTCCCATGTGTGTGTGTGAACAGTGCATATACACACACCCACATGGTTGTGTGTGAGATAAGTGGTCAAAACATTTAAGTGAACAGTGCCCGAGTTACATGGAATTTTCCTCAAAAAGGATTTGAACTTCAGGAGGTATCTTCTCTTTTACTCTACAAAGTGAACAGTGCCCGAGTTACATGGAATTTCATGTGGGACGACGCCCAACGATTCGGCTAATTTGGCCCTCATTTTTTTTTTACAAAATACATACATATATATATATATATGTAATATATTTTATGTATGTAGTTTTTAAAGTATGATATTTTAATTTTAAATTATGCATACATTGAAAAAATACATTTATCCAACTATTAGGTCTGCCTAACAAAAGTTTTACTGATACTAATTATTTGATACAACAAAAATAAAGTTTTACTGTCGATACCGCTACAAAAACAATGTCATATTCCAACAAAAGATCCTACAGTAATATATTCCAATGATAAAATGTTCGATGGAATGATTCCAACAAAAAATATTTTGTTGGAATAAGTTTTCGTTGGAATTTTAGATGAAATTTTATGATTCCAACACTATTTTTTTAATATTTTTTTACTGTAGAAATTTTCGGTGAAATTTTTGTTTCCACCCAACAATTAAGTTTTAGTGTCGATACCACTACAAAAAAATTCTCATATTTCAACGAAAAATCCTATTGTAATACTAGTATATTCCAATAAAAATTTTAACGGCTAATCCAATGGTATAGTTTTCGTTACAATGATTCCAACGAAAATATTCAATTGGAATGAGTTTTTCATTAGAATTTTAGATGAATTTTGATGATTCCAACGATTATTTTTCTAATATTTTTTACCGTATGAATTTTTGTTGAAATTTTTATTTCTACCCATATTTCAAGTTTCAACCGTTAAAATCGTAAAATTTGACGAAAATTCTAATAGAAAACTCATTCCGACGAAATATTTTTATTGAAATTTTTGTTGAAATCAATTGAAAAATTCTAACAAACATAATAGAATTAATGTATCATTGGAATTGTCATTGGAACTCCATTAAATTATATTATCATTGAAGTTTTTCGTTGAAATTTCATTATTTTCTTGTATCCTATGATTTCTACGAGGCCAACGTACTTTTTCCTCAAATATGCGTACTTTAATTAAAAAAAAATCATGTTTACAAAAATATTATAAACAAATGTATAATATTTGATAGTATAAATATGTATTTTTGTTCACTTAATTACTATGACATTAGTTAGACGGAATAAAACAAAATGTTTGTAAACCACGTGCTGTCGCATATGCATACTCGTTATGGTATTCTTTCTTTTGTCTTTTATTTTTCTGTTATTATTACTTGGATCTCTTTGGTGCTCCGTATTCGCAAATACTTAGGTGTACCTAGGCACACGGTAGTAGCACTGCTCCGTATTATTCATTTTTCTTAATGTCCCCACTTAGGTTAATAATTATTCTTTGCTATGATCGTGTAGCCAAAGAGTAATTGCAAATTAATTTACACGTGTAATTTCTGCTCAAATCCACTAGCTTCACGTGATAAACGTTCGCTATGATCGTGTAGCCAAAGAGTAATTGCAAATTAATTTACACGTGTAATTTCTGCTCAAATCCACTAGCTTCACGTGATAAACGTTCTTTGACAATTGAGATGTGACCAGCTTTCTGTTGACGCGTGAGCCCAATTAATTCAACAAGATGGTTACAGTGTTTCGACCGCGTGTGCCGACACTTTTATTTGGGCTACCGACAATTGACAAGCCCAACCTAATTCAATAAATGGGACAATTGACAAGCCCAACCTATTTGGGCTACCGACAATTGACAAGCCCAACCTAATACAAGAGCTTTAATCTGTATATTTAGTTCCCATCGCAACCTCTCTCACTACAACAAAATTATAAATTCCAACGGAAAGTTCCAATACAAATATATTTTAATAGAAATTCTAACAAAAATATTCCATTGGAATGAGTTTTCCATTGAAATTTCTATTGAATTTTGACGATTCAAACGGTAGATTTTCCAACGGAGGTGAAAATAAAAATTCCAATGGAAATTCCTACGATAAAAAAACCGTTGGAAAGTTAGCCGTTGGAATCATCAAGTTCCATCTAAAATTCCAATATAAAAGTCATTCCAACGCAATATTTTCGTTGGAATGATTTCAACGAAAGCTATACCATTGGAATATCCGATGGAATCTCCGTCGAAATATATTATCGTAGGATTTCCCGTTGGAATATAACAATTTTTTGTAGTCTCTTTCTCTCTCTCACTCTCTCTCTCTCCTCAAAGCGCACAAGGGCAAGACGAAATCGGTGGCCAAGTGTCAATCAATATCCTCTATTTTTTTTTCTTTTTTTCCTTTTTGGCTATATTTTCTCAATTTGTAGACCACCCACTCCCATCACACTTTTGACGGCGGCAGCTGAGAAGGTCGTGACCGAGTAAGAGTCGTGATTGGAGGTTTGTATGGTGGGTAACGAAGGCGGATCGAAGATCAGCGGTTCTGATGGCTCTCGGCGACCCAAATTCTCTTTTTACTTGTTATGGTTCATATCTCAGTTCAAATACGAAATAGGAACTAAAATCAATCAATCCGTCGATCGGTTTTCGAGCAATGCTATGATTCACCCGTGCAACGTCGAAGATGCACCAGGGCTCGTTGGGAAGATGAAAGGGTGACATTGGGAATGGTGAAGTCAATCAATCCCGTTTTAGAATTGTTTATATGTTGTTTATCTTATGTATAACTACATTCGATTTGGATTTTGCAGTCATTCAAAATTGTGTAATATGTTTAATCTCGTTTCAGAATTGTTTATATGTTATTTATTTTATGTATAACTACCTGATTAATAATTGAGAACTGCAAGATCTTGTTTATCTGATATATACTGTATATCTGAACATATATTTGGTGGTTGGACGATTTTTTTTTCCAATGCAAGATGTTGATTAACCGTTTCAAATTTTGAAATCGTGAATCCCTTAATTCTAGGTGTCAAATTTGGTATTTCGTTTTTTCAAATTTACGTTTTAGGTGCGGTTCTTTCACTGTGAGAAATATGCAGAGAGAGAAGATGATCAACATGTGTGAGAAATATCATCTCGTAGATATGAAAAAAAATTACATCCAAATCCTATTTTGATAAAAGTTTATATGGAACGTCAATGTGTAAATATGTTTTATAGGGAGTCTATATATCAGTTGTTTGGTAACTGCAATTTATTGTTAAAATTAACACCATTATCACTAATTTTGATAATTAATGATATTATTAAAAATTAAAATTTGTAAGTCGTATTTTTTTTAAAAAAAAAAGTAACTCTGATAATAAGGAGAGTAATTTTCTCTATGAATTTTAGTACTAGTAAACTAAAGTAAGCAAGCCCATTAGATAACTAGCCCAATGGCCCAATTAGAAGCTGTGTCTTTTGGTGTCTTCTTGACGTGACACCTTCCGTCTCCCACAGTCAACATCCTTCCCAATTCCATTCTCACAATCTTGGAGCTTTTGCCAGATCCTCCGTGGGGTGCAAAAGGGCCGCCGCAATTTGGGGCTGACGGTCGCAGAATGGAGATCGGGTCGCCTTCTAATGTGAGGCATGTGGCCCATGTTACCTTCGACAGGTTTACTGGCTTTCTCGGGCTGCCGGTTGAGTTCGAGCCCGAAAAGTTCCTAGGAGGCCTCCTAGCGCAAGGTCAATTCTTTTTTTCCTTTGTCTTCTCCCTCTTTTACTATACATTATTTATGGGTACTCTATTTTTTTGTGAGCGGTTTTGTGAAAAGCACTATGTTCATGATAAGTGAGAAAATCTATTTGCTGAGTTGGAAATATGGTTCAGTTAGATGCTGTTTTGCCTAACGGTTGGTTTTTCCCAACCAATTGAACTAAATAGAGTTGTTAAACGAAACACGCCGCTCATGAGCTCAGCTCAGCTCTAGTTCATTTAGTTAACGAGTCAAACTTTTTTTGAATCTGGGTGTCAATTACACTGGAATCCTACGAACTGATATGTATTTTTCACTTATTACAAATAATCTAAAATAGAAAATTACAATTAAACTGAAAAATAAATTAAAACTTAAAAAACAAAAACGGAAAGATTAAAGCCGAGGCGAGTAAAACTCTTTCCGCAAGAAGAATACGCCCTGTGTGGCAGCTAATGGTTCAGGCGTAATTTCCCCAAAGATACAACGACAAACGTCTCTAAATCTTTAGCACACTAGATTTATGAGTTCTGTCGAACTGGAATAGAGTCGAGAATTGAACACTTAAAAATATAAAACAAATATATATAGGGGTTGGTTCAAATAAAAACTAATATTTGATGCTATTTTTAATTGTGTATGATGTTATTTTTAATCTCACATGGTGCTATCATTTTTACAAATGCTAACATAAATTGTATTGCTATTTTTAATAAAATACATCCTGATTAAAAATAGCACCAAACACAATCAATCATAGCACCACGCACAATTAAAAATAGCAGTTCTCACAGTTCTCACACTAAGACTTGGTTCTCATTTGAACCACATCCTATATATATATATATATATATATATATATATATATATATATTTTCTTTCTTTTACTACTCTATCATTCTCTTCAGAATATTTTCCTTTTTGTTCCGTACTTTTTCTCTTCTGCAGAAGAGTATATTTATAGGAGAAGCTCACGGAACAAGATGCCATCAATATTGCCAATTGTCAATAGCTGTCACTCCATAATTGCATCAGACACATGTTACATTAATTGATTAAGCACATGCAACTCAATTACATGTTACCTTAATTGATTAAGCACATGCAACTTAATTATTCCAACATGCAAGTGCATTATTGGACTCTTAAATGATGCAAATTGAGTTTATAATAATTCATGTGGGACTAACTACTTAATTACCCTTAAATTCTAACAATCCCCACATGAGTGTAAATTATATATATATATATATATATATATATATATATATATATATATACTAGTGCGTTGAATCCTCACAAAACTCTATTACATCAGAAAAGGTAGCTTTTGGCTTTGAACCTTTCTTAGTAAACATCATCGGATGCACTGGCGGACTAGTGGATATAATGCCTTGAACTATTCCTCCATAGTGTACACCTAGACAATGACATTCACACAATAGAGTCTTAACTCCATTCCGTTCTATCGTTGCGTCCGTTTTGGCCATGGACAACACAATGAATTCATAAGTGTTTACATTTGAAGCGGCCCTCACTTCACACTTATATAGATGACCTCCCTATCAAGAGTATCATGTATTACTCCACCTTTAAAAGGTTAGGGATTCAGTAAAAGTCCACATGACTTACCCTCACCACAATCAACAGGTCATCTTGCACTTGGAGTGCTCTAGGGAATAGCTTTGGACATTCATATGTTCCAAGTGTTCAACTGAATTTTCATAGCTTAGTTTTCCCTTTGAATCAAGTTCGTGAGATCTCCACTCAACATGGTAGGGTTACCACTATTATCATTCATTACATTGTGATTTTTAAACCCATTCCCTCTAGCAAAACTCTCAATTGATCTCTATTCATTCCTTTCGTCAAAGGATCAGCCAAATTTTCCTTAGACTTCACATAGTTAATGGAAATAATACCATTTGAGATCAATTGGCGTACAGTATTATGTCTACGACGAATATGTCTAGACTTACCGTTATACAAGTTGCTTTGCGCCCTACCTATAGCAGCTTGGCTATCACAGTGAATCATCACATGCGGCAAAGTCTTATCCCAACATGGAATATCGGATAAAAAATTTCTAAGCCACTCGACTTCTTCACCAGCTTTATCTAAAGCGATGAACTCCGATTCCATCGTTGACCGAGCTATACACGTTTGTTTTATGGATTTCCACGAAACTGCACCTCCTACAATACAGAAAACATATCCGCTAGTGGAGCGAGAATCTCTCAAATATGATATCCAGCTTGCATCACAGTACCCTTCAAGTACAGTTGGGTATCTCGAGTATTTTAGCCCGTATTCAAGGGTGTACTTCAAATACTTAAGTACCCTTTTCAAAGCATTCCAGTGCTCATGACTGGAATTTTTCATAGCTCTGCTCAGTTTATTCACCGGATAGGCCAAGTCTGGTCGTGTACAATTCGTCAAGTACATCAAACTCCCTATTATCCGTGAATATTCCAACTGAGCCATTGGTTGACCTTTATTGGCTACCAGATCTATACTAAGATCAAGGGGTGTCTTACACCTAGACTGTGCACCGTCATAGGCATCAAATTTCTTGAGCACTTTCTCTACGTAATGAGATTGTGACAAGACAATTCCATCTTGGGTTCTGATAATCCTTATTCCAAGAATAACATCAGCCAAACCCATACCTTTCATGTCGAAATTCTCTTCAACATTCTTTTTGTATCCATGATAACTTCATGGCTACTCCCCATGATCAACATATCGTCTACATATAGACATACAATCACAAATTTATTTGATGTACTTTTGACATAAACACATTTGTCACATTCGTTGATTTTGAAATCATTTGACAACATCACGTCATCAGATTTCAAATGCCATTATTTCGGAGCTTGTTTCAGTCCGTACAAGGATTTGATCAATCTACACACATTTCTCTCTTGTCCAGGTGCAACAAACTCTTCAGGTTGTTCCATGTATATTTCTTCTTCCAATTCACCATTCAAAGATGCCGTCTTGACATCCATTTGGTGAATCTTAAGATTGTGCAAAGCAGCAATCGAGAGACACACTCTTATCGACGCTAAACGCGTAACTGGTGAATAGGTATCAAAGAAATCATACCTTTCCTTTCGTTTAAAGCCTTTGACCACCAATCGTGCTTTAACTTATCAATCGATCCATCAGCTTTATATTTCTTCTTTAGGATCCACTTGCATCCTCAAGGTTTACAACTATCAGGGAGATCAACCAACTCCCATGTATGATTTTGCATAATGGACTCGATTTCGCTATTTACAACTTCTTCCCAGAGTGGTCCATCTGGGCTGGACAGAGCTTTCTTAAGGGAACTCTGTTCATCGTCCAACATATACGTAATAAAATCAAGTCCAAACGTTTTAGCCGTTTTTATCCTTTTACTATGTCTCGGTTCTTCATCAGTACCCTCTGGTCAGAACCACTAGCAGTTTAATACGTTCGTTTATTAGAACTAGATTATGCCCTTTCCTTCATAGGAAAAATATTCTCAAAGAATATAGCATTCCTCGACTCAATCGTGGTACCAACAGATACCTCTGGATTCTCTGATTTATGAACCAGAAATCTATATGATGTACTATTGTACGCATATCCAATAAATACACAATCGACCGTCTTTGGCCCGATTCTCATTTGTTTGGGTTCAGGAACTGAAATCTTAGCCAAACACCCCCACACTTTCAGGTATTTATAAGACGGCTTGCGATTTTTTCACATTTCGTAAGGAGTCTCATTTTTTCCTTTAGGTGGTATTTTATTCAGAATATGATTTGCTGTTAAAACAGCTTCCCCCCACATGTTTTGGGGTAATCTTAAATTTATCAACATGGCATTCATCATTTCTTTTAACGTACGGTTGTTGCGTTCAGCAACACCGTTCGACTAGAATAAGGGGCAGTTGTTTGATGAATTATGTCATGCTCAGAACATATTTGTTCAATAGGAGCTACATACTCCCCACCCCTATCACTTCAGATTATTTTAATCATTTTGTCGAGTTGATTTTCAACTTCGCTCTTATAGATCTTAAACGCTTCCACAGCCTCGTCTTTGCTTCTTAATAAACATAAGTAGCAAAACCTTGTGCAATCATCGATAAAAGTAATAAAATACTTTTGACTAGTTCTTGTTTGCACACTTTTCATATCACATACATCAGTATGAATCAAGCCTAATGGTTCAGTGCTCCTTTCCACCGAGTGAAAAGGCAACTTAGCCATTTTTGCTTCAGTACAAATTTCACATTTCTTATGTGATTCGATTTTAGAATTAGGAATTAATTCTAAATTCATCAACCGTTTAATTGCATTTAGATTTACATGTCCCAATTTAATATGCCATAAATCAGAGCACTCAACGGTATAAACAGAAATAGGCTTTTCATTTTCAATGGTTACACGGCTCACGGCCATTACATTCATTTTTAACAAACCCTTGTCGAGATAGCCACGACCAAGAAATGTTCCAAACTTGCTAAGAACAAACTTCTTAGCATCAAACACCAGCCTAAATCCATGCTCAACAAGAAGAGATCCTGAGACCAAATTCTTGTGGATGCCTGGGACATGCAGAACATCCTTAAGCTTCAACTCCTTTCTAGAATTCAGCTTCAGCACCACAGTGCCACTCCAGCCGCATCAGCCGTGGAAGAGTTTGCCATGTGAAGTTTTCGACCCTTAGCAGAAGTGTATTCAGATAACACCTCCTTATCGGAACACACATGACGAGTGACACTAGTATCGATGTACCACTCCCTTGGGTTATCCACCATTGGCTTCAAACACCACTGCCGACATATCAAAGTCGGTCAGTTCACCTGGCACAGGGCATATTAAGCTACAAGGGCACTTGGTTGCCCTTTCTTTAGCCATATGGTTCGGCTTTCCACAGTTGTAGCAAGTTCCAGTAAACTTCCAAACCTTGGCTGGTTGCTTCCCTTTGTCAAGGGACTTTCTCTTGCTCGATTTGCCTTACTCTAGCAAGTTAGCACGAGCCTCCATTATCGGGGTTTTCCCCGATGAAATACGGTTGTCCTCCTCAATACGATGACGAACAACCAGGTCTTCAAGACTCATCTCCTTCCTCTTATGTTTGAGGTAGTTCTTGAAGTCTTTCCAACCCGGCGGCAATTTTTCAATCACAGCCGCAACTTGGAATGAATTGCTCAGAGACATTCCCTCAGCATGGATATCGTGCAAGATAAGTTGAAACTCTTGCACTTGGGACACGACGGTCTTCGAGTCGACCATCTTGAAGTCAAGAAACTTGTCGACGACGAATTTCTTCTCTCCGGCATCCTCAGTCTTGTACTTCTTTTCCAAAGCAGCCCAAAGCTCTTTGGCAGAACCAATCGAGTTGTACATATTATACAACTCGTTACTAAGTCCATTCAGGACATAGTTACGGCAAAGGTAATCACCTTGTCCCCAAGCCTTGTACGCAGCGCGTAGTTCAGCATTGGTCTTATTTTCAGCAATGACTGGAGGATCGTCCTTCAGGTATTTTACCAAACCCAAAGTTGTCTGGTAAAATGCATCTTTTGTTGCCACCTTTTGAAATCAAGCTCGTTTGAATCTGGGTGTAAATTACACGGGAATCCTATGAACTGATATGTATTTTTCAATTCTTACAAATAATTTAAAATAGAAAATTACAATTGAACTGAAAAGTATTTTACAACTGAAAATAAACTAAAACTTAAAAAACAAAACGGAAAGATTAAAGCCGAGGCGAGTAAAACTCTTCCACAAGAAGAATACCCCCAAAGATACAACAGAAAACGTCTCTAAATCTATAGCACAGCAGATTTACGAGCTCCGTTGTGCTGGAACAGAGTCGAGAACTGAACACTTAAAATTATGAAACAAATATATATATATATATATATATATATATATATATTTCTTTCTTTTTACTACTCCATATTTCTCTTCTGAATATTTTCCTTTCTGTTCCGTTCTTTTTCTCTTCTGCAGAAGAGTATATTTATAGGAGAAGCTCACGGAACATGATGCCATCAACATTGCCAATTGTCAATAGCTGTCACTCCATAATTGCATCAGACACATGTTACCTTAATTGATTAAGCACATGCAACTCAATTACATGTTACCTGATTAAGCACATGCAACTTAATTATTCCAATATGCAAGCGCATTATTGGACACTTAAACGATGCAAATTGGTTTATAATAATTCATGTGGGACTAACTACTTAATTACACTCAAATTCTAACAAAACTGAGCCCAGCTCGTTAAGGCTCGAGAATAAGGATTTTCACGTAATTTTTTGAATTTTCACTGCTGTGTGGCCTGTTAAGCTCGTAAAGGTCCTCGTCTCGTTAATATTGATAAACGGCTAAGTTTGACTCGATGGCTCGAGTTCGGCTCGTTTACACCTCTAACCATATAAGTACCTTATTCGGGTGTATGTGGATTTTTCATGCTTGAGATCCTTCAATTCAAAAGGAAAAATGTAGTTGGGATTTGGAATCAACTAGTTGTAGTATTGAGTCTTACTTTAAATCGTGAAAAGAAAAACAGTGAAAAAATAATAAAATAGAAAATTTCATTGATAAACAGTTATGAAGAATTTCCGTTGTAGTGAAGGGAAAATGCTCACATGCCCACGGTGGGCACATGTTAATATGCCCACCGCTGATGTGGCATGCACACATTGGTGATGTTAATATGTTAAAAAAAAATACATCATCAATGTGTGCATGTCACCTAAGTCGGTGGGCATATTAACATGTGCCCACCGTGGGCATGTGAGCATTTCCCTGTAGTGAAGTTACAATATCTAGTTCGTGTTATTGGTTTATGATCAATTACTCGATTTATAGGAAATGCGAGATGAGTGGATGTGTGAAATAACCTCATTTTCTTCTGTGGAGCAAGTCACCAGTTGGCTTAAATTCTTGCTCTTCTGATCCTGACCTGTAATTAGCAAAGCAAGGTGATTATTTTAATAATATGGGCTTACCCGGTTTTGACGATTTTTTTTTATGGCTAATTTAATTCATGTCGAATTAATTGTATAGAAAAATTATACGTAAATATGTCCTCGTGCTATATTTATTTTCTCAAAACTGATTGTTGATGAGTGAGATGCTCGTGGTGTATTTATAAGCTAATTTAACATTATTCGACATATTAAACTCAATATTTCCTCATTTGTAGTACGCGAGTATTTGGAGTTTCGATTGAGTCGATGAAATTATCTCTCCACGCTCGAGGTAATTATGTGCCAACTATACTACTGATGATGCAAAGACGCTTACAGATTAATAACACAATTAATCGATTCCCTTTTCTTTACCTCATTTTTTCCTTGCCTCATTTGGTCTTATTTACTAAACAGAAACAATATATGGTAAATCACCATCCCCTCTATATATAATTTCAGATATATGCTAAATCACCATCCCCTCTATATATAATTTCAGAATGCGCTGAGCCTACGTGACAAACTCTCATGCTTCAGAATCATATTTGATAAAAAATATGCTTTGGAGTTAGGCTTGGATATAAATTAATATTTGTATTAATTGTATTTTAATATCATTTCTTATTATAACCATTGAATTGCATATAAATTTTAAAAGTTGATAACTTTTGTATTTCTTATCGGTTTTACATATATAAAATATCAAATTAATCATCTTTTGATGAACTTCGATTTGAAATCCATACTGTATATATAAAATAAATAAACTATATTTATCTTTATAATAATAATAAAATTATTTATTAAAATTAATTAGAAAATAAAATTATTTATCAATTAATATATTTATGTTTAATGTAGTTATATGTAATAAGATAGAAAATTTATTATAATATAACACATATAAGTCGCACAATTAACATGTGTCATACTAAAATATATAATAATATATATTCCCGCCTATTTTTATTATTTATCACTTTGCCTTAATTGATCATTGATAAAATAAATGTCGTTTTAGATATTTAGTTCACATTTTTCCATTTTTAACCCTCCATTTAATACACAATGTCTCTTCATATCCCATCTCCATCGTTTCTCATAACATCCATTAAATAGGGTTAATATTGTCAAGAAAAAAAAAATTTAATTAGTGTGTTGCATTTGAATTGATATTATGAAGTCAGTTTGCATTTTACTATTTATATATATATATAATACAAAACAGTAATATATATCCTTATAAATAAAATTTAAATTTATTTATCAAACTAAATTAAATTAAATCAAATAAAACTATAAATTATACTATAAAGTAATAGAAATTGGTATGTATTCTTTTAAAAATGATATTTATTTCAAATCTAATTGGTATGTTGTCAATGTAATAAAAATAAATAGTTATTTATCTAAATTCTAAAATTACATATAATGTTAAAAAACTGTGAAACACGACTGATACGACACTTGATGTATTAGACATCTAATTAAGTAAAAAAATTAATCTGTTTTGCTTAATATAAAATAAACATATTCTACACTTATGCATATACATATTACCATATTATTTCTACTTATTTAAGACATATATTTTTGTACTATGTAATAGTAAATAATATCGATATTTTTATATGATATAAGTAAAAAATTCGACACGGGTTGACATTTTTCATTTAATGTACGGGTGTTTAATTATTATGATTAAAAAAATATAATTTGACAATTTAATTAAAACCCAAAGTAATGTTTTATATAAAATTAATTTATTTTAGTTTTTAAATAAAAAAAATTAATATTTTTTTTTACAAAAGCTTTCTAATTCAACACCCGTGTAATACACGGGTATTGTACTAGTACTGTTTTAAGTGCAAAAACTATAAATATTTTGTCTCCAAATTTTTAGTCAAAAGGACTTCAGGATTAATCTGGCAAACGGGCAGGAAGAGTGAGAACAACTAAACAATGGGTTGATTCCGGATGACATTCTGCAGGTCTTGTCTGCAAATCGACGAGCAAACTTGAAATGTAATTCTCAGATATGGTGACTATTTGGGCTAGGGGAATCATGAAGCGGATTCTACAACAAAAACTGCAATTAGTGACGTTTTATTTTTTTTATTTAGTGATATTTATTAGTGTCACAAATAAATTTGCCTACACTTGCAAAAATGTCACAAGTTGCATTCATAAATTTGATGTCACAAATTTATTGGTAACGCAACCTAGATGCGTAGGTAATCTTTAATGCACGACACTTTTTCAAAAGTGTGTTGTTAGTACATAATTTAGTGACACAATTTATTAATGTAAGTAATTTTTATTAGGTGACTCTTTTTTGAGCATGTCATTATTATTACGAGTTGTGACATACCTCCTCCATTTTTTAATTAGTGTTTTTTGAGAAGTTGCACAGTAATTAAGATTTTTTTTTTGCAAATAGTAACCCTCATTAATGAGGATAGAGATAGATGTTTTGAGAAAAGATAAGAGTGAATATGAAAAGATGTAGTATATTTATTAGCTAAATGAGGGTAATAATGGAAAATATGCACAAAGGATCCAAAGCGTCGTTTATTTGGTTAATTATTGATAAAGTCAAAATGACATTTAAAAAAAATGGAGGTAATATAATTTTAGCGTCGTAAATTCCGATGCATGACACTTTTTTTTATAGCGTCATTAATATGAATTATTGTGACACAAATTGTATTGTTGGCAATTTTCAATATATTACACTTTTTTAAGTGTCGTTATAATTTTTGATGACACAAATATGGGTGTTAAGAAATATCAATATGCGACACATTATTCATGCATCGTTATTATGAAATTGGCAACAATATTTTGTCAAATTAGTTACACAGACAATAATTTTCATCTTCATACAAGAGATTCCATAGTGAAACAAAAGTTATTATAATAAAACTCGAACAATGATAATATCCACAATAAATATACAAAATAAATAAAAAGTTGAATTTCTAATAACATAATAAAAAGAAACCACATCATTGTCTAATAAAATAAAATAATTTTAAATAATCATCACAAAAACATCAATTTTAATTACACTTATTAAAAAACTCACAATATATATATTGTTAGAACTCGTCTTTGTTGTAGTACATGTAGTGTATATGATGAGTTGCTTCTAAATCGTTTCTACATTAGTTAAACTTAATAGATATTTGGACTCTACAAGTTTGGAAGGTAAGAATTTATAGATTTTCTTTAGATAATGAAAAACTTATATCTTATCTCTATTTATTTAGTTCCGAACTTTAAGAAATGCTCATGAAATTCCCATAAACACATACCATCATTGAAAAATGATGAATAGAACTATGATATTTAAACATATTAATATATGTTTTTATTTAAAATATATGATGAGCCTTAGTGTAGTAAACTCGTCTAGAGTGAGGGACTAATGATATATCATTTATAAAATTAGTTTGATTATGCTATTATGTACATCATTCATAAAATTAGTTTGATTCACCAATTATTTAGCCTAGGATCTATGGTATCAAAATATATGAATATCCAATTATATTTATCAGATATTTCTAAAGATATTTAAGAAAAATCTCTCTAATAGTTAAACTGTGTCACAACATAACTATCACAAATTTGGTAGAAGAATGGTACCCCATAGCTTTCTTAAATTTACAAAATGAACTCAGAATTGTGACCTTATTTGGACATTGCTACCTAAGTAGGGAATAATGTCATCATCATTTTTTTTTTTTCTTTTTTTACCATTCAATATTTTCAGCATGGCCTTTTGTATGATTTCACATCATAACTTATTAACTTACTAATGTATGTGGTCAACGTAACGAGAACTTATTATAGGCCTCTACTTTTCCTGGCATGCTTAAGTATGCAATTAATATAATCGAACGAAAGGTATAGCATGAAGATATAACTAGTACAGAGCCCGTGCGATGCACGGGATGCACAATTTTAAGGCTATTTATCCAGACTTATAATTATATACATGAATAAAAAAAAATGTACGGAATATATATAGTACGTGACTCGCGAGATATATTTATTTGGAGAATATTATATTATAAGATGCAATATTCAATAAAAGTTTATAATACGCAAGAAATTGTACGATGTTCAATAAAAATTTTATAATATTCAAGTGGAGTCTTGAAGTCTCTTGTACATTAAGACTACTGACAAAATAATATTTTAATCAATGAGTTTCATTTCCTTGTAGCCAAATTGTGAATGTGATTTGAGGAGTACAACAAATTGATATATAGCTGACTTGTTTTTTTCATTGTAGTTTTTTTTTCTTTTTTTTTATAATGAATTTAAAGATATTCTAAACTATAGCAAAAATTAATTTTTTTATTACAATTAGGAATTTTACTAAATATAAACTCTCAATCTATGGTGTTAATCAAAGTTTAAGTCTAAAAAATTAGGAATTTTTACCTTTTTTTATCAACGTTTAAGTCTAAAAAATAATAGAGTTATTATAAGTT